AGTGTGTGTGTGTGTGTGTGTGTGTCGGGCCGTCTAAACGGACCGCGTGAGAGATGCACTGGACCAACACGGGGGTTGCCCGCCGATGACAAATGTTGAACATAGGGGGCGGAGGCGTGGTGACACGCATAGGGGTGGTTTCGGCCGCTCCAGCCACCTCCAGTCTTTTTGACTGTGTCTTGACACCGGGTGCAAGTGGGTGAAGGAAGAGAGAGAGTGCGGTAGATGCCGCGCAAGTCTACTATCACTGAAAAGAAATTGCGCGCAAATTATCGTCCCTGCACCACCCTGTTGTGAAGCATAGGGTCGACGCCATCGAAACCGATGGCCGAACTGTCGTGTGTGTGTGTGTGTGTGTGTGTGTGTGTGTGTGTGTGTCACACACAGGCATAGCTCGGTCCTCGTCAACCATTGCTTCAACACGCATACCCAGTCCTCTTGACCCTGTTTTATAATTAGAGCATGTTAGGTGTAGAGAAGGGGTGAGTTAGGCGTGCATAAGTTTGCTTCATTACGAACAAATTCACATGCAAATGTGTTATAATGCCTTACAGATAGGCATAAAGACCTTGCTTCGTCAGCTGATAACAGGTTATTTGTTTTATTTAGAGATGTAACTATGACTACTTCGGCTACTTGAAGAGATCTCCCCTAATTATCTTAGTATACAGAGGTGTGTACATCATACGTGCAAATTATTGTGCCACTGAAGTCCATTGAAACGGTGGCGTTTTTATGTTGTGCTCGATACAGCCTTAAGCATTTCGTTGAGTCGCCCGAAAAAGTGGCATGCTTTGACTGTAGCATAAACAAAACGTTCCGAAAACGACGCGATCTTAAAAAAGCGCAAATATACCTGCTAATATGGGTTTTGCCATTCATGTGAAGGTCAGGGAATTCGTTAATGAGGCAATGCGCTGTCTAGGATTCATAGGGCAGACAGGCAAACCATCCCTGAATTACGAGGGAATGGTTGCATTGACATCTTCAGACAACGCTATCCCATCCCTGATGTACGCAACGAGGCCATGAGCTGACGTACTGTCAAATAGCAGAAGTCTCTCGTCAATCCCGTCGATTCATATAGGTCTCACACGGGGATAAGTGCCCTCTGACATTTACTCCTCTAACCAGCCTTAGTGTCAGGCGGGCACAGTGCCCAGAAAAATCCCTCTTAAGCTACAATTTAATCATTCCGTGCGAGTCGTGGTAAATATTTGGAACTTCAAACAGGTAACAGCGCTAAGCAAAGACGGAGAAAGGCAGCAGGGAAGTGTACTAGAGGTTCCCATTACAACAGAACATACCAGTGGCAACAGCCACACCAACTTTATAAATGTTGTTGTATGTCTGTTCATAAGACTACAGTTGCCCTCCATGACTGAATATCATCAAAAACAGGAAGGAAGAGCTTCATATTATGTAGGATTGCACCCTGGATTTTATTCATTAAATTTGAGACGCGGACTTGCAACACAACGTCTCATAGCAGGCACCAAACAGGTAGCGAACTACTATTTTTCATAGGTACTGTACTCAGTGGGGCAGTGAGGTTCTTTTTCGGCAGGAGTTTCCTTGGTAGTGGCGGAACAAAACTCC